CCGCGTTGCACTGCGCGTCGCCGAAGATGGCCGAGGTCCGCGCGGCGCTCACGCACGCGGGCTACCGCGTGTCCCAGCACCACCGCGAGCCCGACGCCATCAAGACCGACGCGCCGCCGCGCGTCCTCTGGGACGTCTTCCGCTGCTGGGTCAAGAAGCACCCCGTGTCCGAGAAGCGCCTCGCGGAGCCGCGGTCCGCCGCCGCCAAAATCCTCGCGACGGCGCCGGTCCTCGAGGCCAACTTCGCGACGACGGCGGCCATGCGCGCCAAGGCCACCAAGGCCCGCCGCTGGGCGCCGAACCCGGAGGAGCACTGGGGCCCCAAGGCCGCCGCGCGCGGCCGCAAGCAGCCCAAGCTGCAGAAGTAAGGCCGAACGACAACACACGTTTTTTAGATGGGGATGCAGAGGAGGCACCGGAAGAGCGCGCGGAGGCAGCCCGGGTGCTCCCGCAGGCGGCGCTCGCGCAGAGCGTCGTCCTCCTGGAGCTGCTTCTCGTAGGCGACGACGAACTTGTGGGCGTCGTCGATCTTCAGCGGCTTCTCCACGGCGCCCGTCGCCGCGAGCGCCGCCCGGAGCGCCTCCTCGTCGACCTTGTGCGCGCAGAGGTCCGCGACCATTTTCCGCAGCTCGTCGTCCTGGTAGTAGCAGCCGTCGGCGCTGTAGGAGCGGTAGCGCGAGATCCAGTCCTTGTGCCGCGCGCGGATCTCGTCGCGCCGCTTCATGTACTCGTTGTAGTCCTCGACCTTGTACCTGGGCAGCAAAAGGGTGATTAAGTTAGCTTCAACGTGAGTGTTCCGCGCGCGCACGTTCCGGAAAAAGCGTTCACGCTTCGAGACCGTTCCGAGAGATGATCGCTCGTCCAAAAATCAGCCGAAACGAGCGGAAAATGGCCGAGATCGGAGCCTTTGAAGGTGGGAATTTCGCACCCTTTTGCTGCCCTGACCTTGTACTTGACGGTGGCCTCGTCGATGCCCGCGTCGGCGTCGATGTGGTCGAGGGCGTCCGGCGGCGGCTCGACGCCGTTGAGCTTCTTGAAGAACTTCTTGCAGGCGTGGCGGTGGAGCGTCGGGACCGCGTCCGTCGACCGCTTCTTCGCGCACTCGTGGAACGCGTGGAGGATCGCGTAGTCCCGGCCCAGCACGGCGGACAGCGACTTCTGCCAGACGACCGTGGGGTGGCCCAGGGTCATCGTCTTGCGGAAGGTGATCTTCTTCGCGGGCTCCCGCGGCGCGGCCGCGGCGGCGTCGGGCGCGGCGCCGAGGTCCGGCCGGTGCGCGGCGTACCAGGCCTTCTCCGCCTGTGTGGACATCAAATCTTCAACCCGACTTCAATGTGAGCGTATGCGACTGTTCGAGATCTTCGGCTGTGCTTCGAGAACCCGACGAGAGCCATCGATTCGTCCAAAAATCAGTCGGGACGTCCCGAACCAGCGGTGATTCCACACAGTTTCCGCGTCTCTC